CCCCCCCCCCCCCCCCGTAAGCCTGTCTCCCTGAAAAGTTGAGGTGGATTCGTGTCCCTGAGGTGGATTTGTGTTTTACTTAAGCTCAAGTTCTGTGTTTCTCTCCCCCAACCCCTGCACTCAAGTTGGAGCTGTTCTCCACAGACATGAAGCGCTCAGCCTCACTCTGCAGCAGGATCAGCGGGAATTCCCTGGCCGATTCTGTGTCCAGGATTTCTGGTGTTGAGGAGAACACCGGCTGTCACCAAGCAAAGGACTGCAGGTAGCCTGCCCTCCGAGGAGGCTGTGTGCTGAGGACGCGCGCTGTGCTGCAGGTGGGCTCTTGTGCAGCAGAGCTAAGGAGCACTTGCACAGTTGAGCTGAGCCAGTGAAAGGACGAGGATCTGCTGGGGGGTGCAGGTGGCTGCTGCCAGTGCAGGAAGCTGAGCACCCAGCCCCTGACCTCTGTTTGAGGGGGGCAAGTGGGTAGAGACTGTTCTTTATGTCTCATCTCAGGGTTGTTGGGTTTCGAGGTTCTTTTCTGTGTTTGACAGGATTTGGGGGCAGTCAGGATACCTTCCATGGCAGTGGGCTAGTGCACGGGGCCACAGCAGCGTTGCTGGGCTCTCTCCTGCAGTGCCTGGAGCCGGTTCTGTTGCAGTACAAGCCTCCCACCAGCCCCTGAGCCCTTGCTGCTCGTAAACACGAGCATATGTATGGTCTACAAAGGACAGTGGCTGACAGAGTAGGAGGCACTCAAGACCTATTTATTGTGTCTTGAGAGGAGCCGTGGTCTGAGCCCAGAGGGTGATGGAGCACCACGCAGCAGCTTGCTCTCTCCCCCCTCAGGAATGGGGAGGAGAAAATAGAACAGAACCCTTGGGATCCAGACAAGGAGAGGGAGGGATGATTCACCTGTTATGGTCATGAGCAAAAGACAGGCTTGTTTGGGGAAGAAAAGGAACATCAATTTAATTCAACCACCACACCATCAACACTTAAAACCTTCCAAGAAGTGGCGGTGACATTCAGCTAAAAGTGCAGGTGTTGGGCCGGGGCAGCCAGCGATGCCTCACTGCTGCTGTTCCCTGTCGCAGGGCCAGGCCGAGGTGATGGGTGGTGTCGGGGCAAGCTGGGGTGAATCAAACTTCAGCTGGCATGAACCCCAACCTGGCAAGGGAGTGGACTGACCTCTTTACCTCGGAACAACCCCTGAGGCTGCCAGCCCCTGAGCCTGGGCGACCTCCCGGGGACCCTGCAGGCTGGCGAGGTCAGCACAGGCACTCCTCAGCCTCTGCTGAGATGTTAGCAGCTTGCTCTGCTGATTCCTTGCTATGTTTCTCTTAACAAAAGTAAGCAAACTTCATTTCTCAGCTATGTCTTCTTTCAAGAACTTTTAAAACACTGTATCTGCTGTACTGTTTAAAAGAATTTTTTCCTTCAATAACTAAACCATGGGGTTTAGTTAATTTGCATTTGGGATTCTTTAATTATATGGAAATCTTCAGATAGGTACAAATCAGTTTAGTTGATGCAGTGTCAGCCAGTGGGACATGCCCAGGTAACCCTGGCTGAGGGGAGATCTGTGTTTCTGTCTCACAGAACCAAAGCAAAAAGGACAGTAATGGTTGTGCCTCCAAAACATGCTTGACGCTAATTCAGGGAAATGGAAACAGGTGCCACAATGCAGCAGCTCAGCAAGAATGTCAGGGGCACTTCAGGTGCCATTAGCTATTTTAGCTAATAAGCTCCCCTGAGATGCCTCCCTTTCTCCTACTTCTCTTTCTCACCTGATACTTGTCCATAGTTCCATAATGGCCAAGAGAATGGTTATTAATCTCCTAAGCAGAGCCCCCAACTATGCAGTGACTCTGCAGGGCAAAGGAACATGTTGTTCAGCTACTCCTTAGGAGACCAGACACAGGAAAGCCTTTAAGGAGTTACCAGCCTAAATAGCTGTAATCTGTCTTGAGAAAGAGGAGTGGGCTGCGCATGGTGCAGGGAGGGGAATGTGCTCTCTTTGACAGCCTGAGGGGCCCTGAGCGCTGCCCTCATCCTGCTGAGCCCTCGGTGGGTTCAGCTTTGCTCTTTGCGTTTGGTGTTGTGGCAGATTACAACCTTGCTGTGATTCACATGCAGAGGAGGATGGGGAGATATATATATAGGTGTCGTGAGGGCTGATTCATTTATTGGAATGAATCTCCTGAGCATCTCAACAAAGCCAATGTCAACGTCCTTCTCGGACCCCCAGAAAATATTACAAGGAGTCAAATGTAAATGTCATGGTCACTGTCCTTGGAGTCACCTGTGCTCCCCTGTGGTTGGCTTAATGGTGTAAACGATGCGCTGCTCCTGTTGGGGTCACCTCAGCCCTAAGCCTGAACTACTTGCTCTGCTCAGCGAAGTTCTTTCTAAGACTGTCTTATGGCAACCCCCATGGGAGTGTTTCAGAGTTGAGTGGGAGCTGCTTATCTCCCTCCTGAAAGCTCAACTGTGGCAAAGCCAAAGGTTTGTGGCTCACCAGACCAGGGAGCTGGTGAGTCCCACACGCTGACCCCACACTCTGACAGGCTTAGTGCTGCAAGGGAGACAAGTCCCTCTTGGGCTCAAGTTAAAAGTACTGACCAGAGTGGGTCATGGCCAGCTCTGGTTTCCTTTGCTTTGCTGAGCCCCTTAAATAGGTGTGAATGAGAACATGCTGTACAGGAGTGTCTGTCTGGTACAGAGCTTGATGTTCCCAGCAGGCTCTGTGTGGTGGGACGGGAATGGCACCACAGGAGCAAAAGGGTTATCTGCTGCTCTCCTCATCTTTTGAGATGACACTGCTCGATGACTTGGCCTGGCCAGGCCAGAATTCATTCCTGGCAGATCTCATCCTGGCACCCTTCTCAGCTCTGCTGGGAATGATGCACTGTCCCTTCTGACGTGCCTGCCGGCCCTGGGCGCATTGTTGGGGCTGTGCCTAGCCAGATGACATCAGCCGTCTGTGCCATATACAGCCTGAAAAAGACAAATGCACTTCCTGATAACCCTCCCGTTTTTCCCGTTCAGTGCTCAGCCCAAGAAGTGAGAGTTGCTGCTGTCTTTGTCCTTCACTATCACTATTCATACTTATTTCAGGGTATGGAATCTGGTAACAGAAATATTTCCTGGGTTAGCTTCAGCAAATTGCATCAGATCGTTCAGTTCTGCTTGGCAACCCATTAACACCAGGGGTAATTCCTTTGCCTTAAGACAGTCCACTCTAAGGGTACATCTGGGACATGCTGTAATGTTACATGTTAATTATTTACTATGACCAGCAAGGAACTTTGCATCATGTTCTGGGTAATAGATTTATGGCACTTCCTGCTGGGCTTTGTGCTGTTGATACAGCAGAAGTAACAGCAAAGCCATTGCAATAATAGCAACCACATGGGAAAAAAATAATTCTAGAAAAAATTACATGAGGCATAAATGACTGCTGAGAATTTATTTCTGGCTGATCCCAAAGCATCATCACATCCTGAGGAATAAGTTGCTAGAGTAGATTTTGAATATAATGAGTAAACAGTAATAAAAAAAAAAAGTGCAAGAATGTTAGGTGTATTTGCATCCAGATGTCAGTGTTTGTCATGAGCAGACCTGTCTTTAGAGGGTTTTCCATGAAGGACGATGTCTTTCTTGCCTTTCTAATGTAGAGCAAAGCTCAGCTGTGAATTTTTACGGTGAAGGGATGCTGACCTAAAGGTGTGCTGCACAGGCTCTGTGTGCACTTCTCCCCCTCAAGTGCCAAAACCATTCAGCTTGGGAAGAGACAGCTCTGTATCATGAGTTGTTGCAAATTTACTGTATGAACAGGAACATGAGTGACTAGCTAGCAAAGCTGAAACATCATCTGTGTGGTGGGATGGGGCTGGCACTTTTCAGGACCAGAATGAGAAATTTATGACACTTGTCTACTACCTCCAATATTTTCCCTAATGAGCTGCCTCTCTCTTGCTGAACTGGAAACACAGAGCATGTTTATTGACTCCCAGCTCTCTGAGCTGGTTATTGTAAATCTCTGCCCTTTGGAGGCCGCTGCCCCTCAATTATGAGAACCTGATCTTGCTGATTCCCAGAACTGCTCTACAGCTATCGATCTGTTGCACTGATTGACAAACCCCCGAGTGAAATGTGGAGCTAAAATTTCATCCAAATGTGAACTAGCTCCCTGAATTCCCTTTCTGGAATAGAGTACCCTAAAGAATACTGAATAAATGTAAAATCCTTGGGAATCCTGCAGATTGAGATACCAAATAAAAGCAAGCTACTCATTCATTGGCAATACTGTGTTGGAGGCGGGTACAGCCCCCACCCACATTTTGCCTCAAGAGAGCACAAATACTTCTTTTAGGAGGTACCTGATGCTCTGGAGGAAGGCGCAGTGTGAAAGGGCTCCCCCACTTCAGGGTACCTCCTGTCCTCGCTGCAGCCCAGGCGGGCAGCACGTCTGGGCAGGGCACACTCAGCTCTGCCCTGGGACATGGTGCCACCCCCTGCCCCGTGCTGCCCCCAGCATGTCACCAGCTCAGCAGGTGGTAACACACACTTTCCTAGAAGGCAACCTGGAAGTGCCACTGTTCAGACAGATGAATTTGAGGGAGAAGCTATTTAAACCCCCCAAGGCTGGCTCCATGGCCCGTGCCCTGTCAGCGTGGGAGAACGGGTGCTGTTCTCTGCAGCTGCAGAGAACCTGACACCAGGTGCAGTCAGAGGTTACGTATTTCACCGTGGGCGTTCAGTCCCTGTTGTATGACTGGTGGTGAGGATGTCATGGGCATGAAATGTTAATTTCTTGAGCTCCACCAAGATTCAGAAGTAAACACATATTCCTCAGCTACCCAAAGCTGCACACTGGTGCCAAGGAGATGGGTAAAGCAAGTTCAGAAGGTAAGGGAGGACTAGGCAGGGGCTGAATGAGGGTGCACTGGCCAGAGCCATAGACCAATTTATTAATTATAGTATTTTTACACTCATAAATAATAAAGGCAGCTTATACCAGTAGAAGGGTTCCCTTTCGCCCTTACTTCTGGGACACTAGAAGAAGTGTGCTTGCCAGGTGGGAGCAGGGCAAGGCAGGAGGGCCAGGAGCTGCAGAACACCAAGTCTCTGGCCAGCACAGCACTCCAGAGGCTTCAGCAGGGCAGGCTGCTCTGAGTGTCCAGCCTCTCCTTGGGCAGGGAGAGCTGCCGTTCCTGGCCCTCCTGCCCAGGGACAAGGCTGGAAGGGCTGGCATTAGCCATGCAGGAAAGTCATCAGGGGAAATCAGGCTTTCAATCAATATACAGAATTTCCTTTACAGGCTACAACATTGGCAGGATTGGTGATGCTCTGTATTCAGCAGCTGGAACATGACTCTGAAGAAGTAGGAAACAGGCCTTTTCTGTATAGGTACACGTACTGCCCCTTGTCCAGCTGGGCACATGGCCAGAGCTGCCAGTTAACAAGTGAGGCACCTCTCAGTGAGGATGTGGTGCCTGTGAGAAGTGTTCACTATTGTGGAAAACCACTCAAAGTCTAGTTAAGTTGCATGTGCTGCATTGGGCTGCAGAGATAGCTGCCTTTCCAACACATCAGGGTTTCCCTCAAATATGTAAATATCTGTGGAGGTTAAATCTAAATTCAGATATGAAGAACTACATATGGTTTAGATTACTTTGTAAGGCATTTTCTTAAACACACCTCCCCTAGGTTTGTTTCTTGCCTTAAATTATTTCCTAGCCAAGCCCAGGATGGGCATGCTCAAGAGCCTGACAGGTCTTCAAAGATCCTGACGCTTTGTTGAAGTTCTTCAGTTTGGAAAAGCCACAACACTACACTGAAGTGGTGGCTCAAGGCCTTGCTGCCTCCTGCAACCCCCTTACCCGGCTTTGACCTGTGCCCCAGACCGATGCAGTCAAGCAGCTCTGGAGTTCCCCTGAACCGGGTGTTGTGACAGGTACCCCAGGACTGCTCCAGTCCTGGCCAGTGCCTCCAGCTCCCTGCTCATGGTGCCTAAATACCAGATACCTCTGGCACAAAGTGTTATGAGCAAGGAGATGATAAAGCAGGAGCATGCACCTACAAAACAAAAAAGTATTCCCCATTACCACAAAGCAGTTCACAGGGAAGGCAGATGAACTGTGGCTGCTGTGCTGCTGCCATCCTGGGAAGAAGGCAAGACCAGCCGTGCAGAGGTGAGTCCACACGGTTCAGAGCCGTCCCCTGCTGAGGGAAGGTTACACAGGGGTTCAGTACATGTGCTGGAGGAATGGAGTCAGAAGCAGCATCGTAGCATTCTCATGTCTGAAAAACAGCCCAGTAGGGCAACATCTGCTCCCTCACCAAAGAGAGGGACAGTGACAGGCTCATTTGTTCTGTCTGAAGGCAGCAATCTCCTGATACGCTGCTGAAGCTGCAGCTCTGCTGCTCGGAAGACATCTGCATCGCTGAGAACAAGTCCTGACAAATATGAGTCTTACCACACGCTGTCAACTGTCGGGTGATTATCCACATATGTACCTGAACACTCTTTCTGATCAAAGCAGGTGTTCACAGTTTAGTGCTGCCCTAGGCTGGCCTGAGAAAAAGCTTATACTGATTGAATACTAACCAGACATCTCCCTGTACACACAAGTAAGGGTGGCACAGTGTGCTCCCAGCAGAGCTAGTACGTGTAGCCTTTGCTGTAAAGCTGTGGAGGGAGGCTCCCAAGGTCTGGCAGGTAAGTGGCATTCTCATCCAGGTGAGAAAGAGGCACTGTGTCCTCCTCACTGATCTGGCGGTCCAGCTCTGCCTTCAGGGTTGGCCGCTGATTATCAGGGAAGGCCAGAGAGAACAAGGCTTCAGGCTCACACACAAACTTGTACACGTAGCGCTCCCCAGCTACCTGCAGGGAAGATAAGGGACAAATGCTGCAGACCCACAGGCAGCACTAAGCAATGCTCCTCGGCAGTGGAGAAGGCTCACAAAAACGTCTGGCTGCTGTAGCCCTTTGTCCTGAGACATGCCAGAGTTGTGAACTTCTCCTTGTGCAGTCCTCCCACTTCTCTGCTGCTTTGGGCTCCCCTGGAACAGCTCCTGGGAAATGGGATGCTGCCAGCTGACTTTTTGTCCAGATAGCAGCAGCTTCAACAGTCCCTGACCGGTCTGTACTGTGACATAATTACACTCAGTGATCCTCTCCAGCGCCCTGGCTCTGGCAGACACCATCCCTACCACATACGACCAACTCTCAGGCAGCCTGTCTCTCACCAACAGCAAGTCTAGACTCATTATATGTCCTTGCAGATGCATAAATTCCAACTCTCCTGACTGCAAACATATACAGAGAAAGAAATTATGATTCCCCTTTATTTCTCATATGTTGCCTAGATTTGGCTCTTTTACACCTTCATTTAACTGCTGCAAAGAGAAGTTATGGGGAAAGAAAGTTCAGGATGTTTGGCTAGCTCAGGTACATTCTGTACCTGCAAGACTTCTGTCTCAAAACAGGAGATCCATCACTGAAGACATAAAAACTCCATCTGCTTTGTAAACTGACCTTCTGCATGATGCCTTTCTCATAATAGTAGCGAAGGGATCGGCTCAGCTTGTCATAGTTCATGGCTGGACGGTTCTTTTGGATGCCCCACAGCCTCGCTACCTGTAGAATAAAGCATCAACATGCATGAATGTCTGTGAACCCAACCCAAGGGCAAAAGACCATTATCCAGAGGAATTCCTTTTTGAGGAATGGTACCACAACACATGCAAACATTTACAACATTTAAATAATAGAATCAAGCAATAATTATTTAGAGGCTTTTCAACAAGAAAAGTAGAACTCAAACTGAACCCTACAACAGAGAGGCATTCACCTTGCCACTACAAATACTCTCCAGTATTCTGAAAGATTGAGGATACTAGAGGACTGCTTCATCCTATGCTTCACTTCATCTTCAAGGATCACAAATGCCAGAAGCCCAGGTATGAGGGAACACCTCCTCTCAGACCCAACGTGCATTTCTTCCTCCTCCTACGTGATTTTCAGCTTTGTCCATGAGACTCAGACAGCTGTTGTAAGCATATGTCAGTTGACCAGAACAACTCATCTGCACTGAAAGTGCCCGTAAAAGTTAATATGTAGCAAGAAGAGTGTTAAATGCAGCTCTAATTGGAACAAGATATGAACAGGTATTACAGACACATCTCCCAGGTACTGTCAGATATCACTGGTTTTTCTAGAACATGACAGCATTAGAAATTACACCTTAATTAATGTCATTTTGATATAAAATATATTTAAGACTAGGACATATTTTATTCCAGATTTTTATGAAAGCTTCTATAATCAGTAGGGTTCAAAACTCCAAACCTCGATGTCAGCCTCAAGAATGGTGCTAAAACCGCACAGGTCACTGCAAGCTTGGGAGTGGAGTGGAAGCAGGGTGTAATTTGACTCACTGAATTGCTGAGACTCTAAACTTACAAGCAGCCTTTCTTAAACATAATATTTGTGTCACCCAAGTGTTTTGACCACTTCTAAAAGCTTTGACTGGCTACAGGGTCTAGCAAGTACCACTGGTAGGCAGAGCCTTCACAGGGCAGAGGAAAAGCTACTTGGGAATTCCCAGCCTCAGCAGCAGTGGCTGCTCCCCCCGAGCCTGTAGAGAAGCGAAATGGTTTTACCTCTTCGGGCTCAATGAGCTTGAACTCCATCCCTCTACCAGTCCAGGCAATGAACTGGGAATTGGTTGGATCATCCAATAAAGCCACAAGAAATTGCCAGAGCTGCAGAGAACCCCGTCGCTGGTATGGAGGTCCTTCCCGGTACCCACCAGCTTCCTGCTTGATGTCTCCTGCTGAGAAGAGCAAACAAGCTGTTTCTGAGGGTAACGGTGCAAAAACAGCTGCAAAAAAGAAAAGCGCATTTCACAAATGTTTACTTGGACTATTTCAGTTCACATAGAGCAGTCAATTCACCAGCAGCTCTTCCAAGAGGAGCTCTGATGAACCTCACAATTAAAATACTTATGCTACAAGGCCTGTTTGCTGCTAAAAAAGCTCAAGAAATGGGATATCAGAAAGCCAGGTATGAACCACAGCTAACGGCCCTGCAAGAACACAGTGTAATGAACTGTGCAGACAGTGGTCAAGTGGCTAACCCTATTTTACACCCAAACTGCAAGCCATTCTTTCTCCAACCTTCAAATTTTTCTGGAACGACACAGACATCATCAGGGAAGGACCTCATCTGCTTGTCATAGCTGCAGCCTGAAAGAGAAAGCGAGGCAGTGACAGACAGACAGGGTAGCACGAGAGGGCAATGCAGGGAAAAGACAGCCACCGAGTTTCTTACCTGAGGTATCTTCTGTATTTGAATGGCTTGGATAACTCTCAGCATTTATGTACATGGAAGGACAGGCAGGAACATCTACAGAACAATTAACAAACTCAGTTAATTAAAAAGCGCAGGAGGCAGGATGACTGTGCTCTCTGGAGGTGGACAGGTAAGCGCAGCTGTCTCACAGACAACCTCCTAAGGCTCTCCTAAATGGTTAGTGTCAGACTGGTGACCTTCTGGGTCTCAGCCATCCCACCACAACTTCATCTTCATCATGCTCCAACCATGAATTACACCAGGATATTTTTTGAGGTACTATCCCATGACATCCTTCAGAGTGGCCAGGGTAGCCAGCAGTCACCTACACACCACTCAATACAAAAATCTTGGGCAATAAACTAAATTTGTATGACACCTCTCCCGCATCTTAGTTTAAGATAATTACGTGCTCTGCTGCTGTTTTCGCAGGTGAGAAGGCATTACATTTTTCTAGGCGTACATGATGTTGCTAACGGAGAGCAGCAGCATCTGAACATTTACTACACAAAGATCATTTCAGATCTCTTAAGTCTCCCTGGCTTTTTCAGATCATGACAGGGCATTCTCACAGGCAGTTGAGAAAACAAAGGAAAAACAGCCTGAGTTTGAAAACAACCAGAGAGTCTTTTCATGATCTCTGTAAATTGTACCGCACTGCACATCCTCCATATCTTGTGTTTTCTGAATCAAACCTGTTTTCCACCCACAGCCGAAGTGGAAGCTGTAACTGGGAGCTTTCGGAAGATTTACCTTACATTTCCCTCATACTCCTGTGTACAGCCATTGCTTTCAGCAGACATTTTGCTGATGCTAAGGGCAGAAGGGTACTCTGAGCTGACAGACTGTGGATTATTACAATCATAAACTACTCTCAGAAAAAACATTCTTCTGGATTTCACATTTTCTTCCCATCTGGACCAGAAGGACCCAGTGAACATGTAATATCATCATAGCCACAGTGGTGGATTCTATACCCTTGTAGAAACTTTTTATTTATGTATTTATTTCTGCTAAAGCAAACAATTCAAAATGTCCCTTAAATGCCCCTTAAACCAGGAAACCAGCAGTAATATTCCATCTAGAAGAGGGTACTGTGATGTCAGGATAGCAAGTCTTTGGACAGGTCTACTGAAAAAATAAATTTATCCCTTATATAAAAGAAGATTACCTGACTAATCTGGTATCTAAGTTGCTGGTTTTGGAATTGTTTTTCTCCTCTGAAATCTCTGCTCTGTGCCCTGTTTCTATGAGCAGTAGCAAGTGGATGCTGACACAAGAGACACGGAGCAACACACTTGCACTCTGCTGAGTCAACCCAGACCCCGCTCTGTGCCTGTCCTTGGAATTGGCCAGTTATTGTTAGCCACCCCAGTCTCTTTAGACAGTTTTAGAATTTTACACCCGTTTGCCAGAACAAGGCTGGCTTATCTTGCACAGTAAGCTTCAAAATGGGGCATCAGCTCTCTCAGTGACCTGCTGTGGCAAGTTCCCAGCGGGTGTCAGCTGCCAGCGAGAGACCTCAGCAGTGAAAGCTGACACCCACCAGCTGGGCTGGGAGAGCTCCGTCTCTGCCTCCAATTTGTGAAATAAATGCTTCTGTCTCCACTCAAGGCCAAGCAGTGTCACGAGCTGCAGCTCAGGGTTGTGTAGTGCAATCCCTGCACCTTTCCTCTGCCAGTGCTTGAAGATCTGCTCCTGCTGCAGGGATCCGAGACAGTTTTTCTGTACAAGCTCCAAGATATTGGATACCTTATTTTCTGCTACCATTTACATAACATTTTCAGTAGAATTTCTTCAAAGCTGACCTCACTGCTATCTGTTTCTAAAATCTACCAGCTCACTCATGCCCCTGAAGACAAAAACCCCCTGTGAAATTGAGAATGCACTTTTCTCCATTTCTGATGGTGAGAGTGGACTAATTATGAATTTTGAGAGTGTCCCCAGCAGCTACTTATTCCCTTGGAAAAAAAGCATGCCTTTAATCTAGTATGAATGGGTTTAATGTCACCTTCTAGCTCCTATACCTTGTTAAAGCTCTCCATCATCTACCAGAAAGTCCTTCTCAGAACATGGTAGGGAAAGTGACTGTTCCAGCCTTCTCCTGGATGCAGTAAACAGCTGTTCACATTTCCTGCGACACAGCCAGTTTCCCAGATCACACACACTCCTGAAGATGAAGTAGTACTGCTTCAAAGCCCAAAGGCCACCAGTGACAGATGTTCACCCAGAAGGCTGCTCCCCTGCAGGGAGACCTTGTTTATACAGTCAGGAGGAGCAAGTGCTGCCTACCTGAGTCATACAGGTAGTCCACCTGCTCCTGTTTGATCACCACGGCTCCTGGGAACGGACGGCTGCTGCCTGCCCGGCTCACTTGCTCGTACTGCAGGTCCTGGAACTCCCGTTTGAAGCCCTGATGAGGGTACTGGAGGCAGGGCTCAGACATCTGGCGCTGGAAGGCAACAGGGTCTTCCTGGGCCATGCCCTGGGAGGAAGGGAAGGAACGGCACATCTCCAGAGGTGGCTGGTATGCAGAGCTAGAAGAGGGGAGAGGACAGGGGATGGCTGCTTTCTTGGCCCTCTGATCTCTGTGCTGGTGTATGGCTGGTTCAGGGACAGAAAGCTCCTTGCCCTCAGCCTGTTACTAGGGCTGTAGGAGCTGCACACGTAGCTGAGGCAAGGAAGAGACCTCAATGAAAGATGTTTCCAAGGGCAGCTACACAGCCCATCATTCTCAGAATCTGACAGGCTTAAGGTGATAGACTTCAAACCCTAGGCAGCAGTGGTGGGTCCAAGGTACTTAGGATGAGAGGGATCCTGTGATTGCTGGAAACTGAGCCCTTTAATCAGGATGCTGCAGCCCCTCCTCCCTGAATCACCAAGGAGAACAATCCTTCTTGCCAGTGGCTGCCTTGTCCTGGCAGTAACTCACCTGTTTTCACTGAGGTATCCACAGCTGGATCTGGGGTTGGGTGGCCCTGCAGGCGTCAGGAAGCTCCTGTCCTGTCTAGGGAACAGTTGGAGCGGTGACTGTATTGGGGCTCCTGGGTTGGGGGTCTTGATTCCAACTTGTCTGGGCTGATCATAGGCACTGGGACAGTCAAACAGATATTGGAGCATTACAGTTCTCCAAGAAGGACTTGTGGCAGCACCCAGGGAGAACACGTCACAGGCAGACACGCTGTCCCTCTGTGCAGCCACCTAGGTCCTTCCTTTCTGGTTATTGGTCACCCCCACACATGATAGCAATAACCCTCAAGCAGAAAACTGGAGGTGTCTGTACTGAAGAAGCCATAACTCAGGCAAGTAGCCGGGACTGTGCTGTTAGGGAGCTCCTTGTGGGAGAGATTTTGGAAAGCAATGGGGAGAGAGGCACGTGACATGTCAAGACTGCTTTCAGCATCAGGACAGCTGAGTAACAGCAGTAGGGAGAAGAAAAAAAACCAGGTGAGCCCAGATCTACTCCACATAGGTCTGAGCTACCCAGTGCAATAAATGGCAGTATGAGGAGGCTGCCATGAGCTGACCCACAGGTTAGTTCGTAGAGCAGCATGCATACACAGCCCTTACCCAGCAGGCAAGCCAGACTGTTGTCATAACACTTCATTATCAGGTAAAGCAGTAGCACCTGATTTCTTAACAGCTCCCATCCCGCCCCTGTGTAAGCTGTGTTACCTGGCATAAAGGCACTGCTCGCCGTTGTGGCACTGGAACGACTGCTTATGGTTGCAGGACAGTGTGGGGTCCAAGGAGGGACTCTGCGGCTCCTTTTTAATCTTAGCAGGAGGACTGTGAAAAGCTACTGTGGGAGAGAAATGAAAGGTCATGTTGATGCTTTTCTTGCCTACGGGGAGATATTTCTATCAGCCAGTAAAAAGTCAACCTGAGATGCCACCACCTTGTCCTTGGTCAGCTGTCTCAGAGATACAGAGCACCAAGGCGTACAGCTGCTCATTGGACTCTGCCCTCCAATTCGTAAGGTTTGTGTGATACATCATCCTCAGAAGAGCAGATCTGGGGTACTGTTAACATGCTCCATGATAATCCAGAGCACTTAAAGAAAGGATTTACAGTGGGTATTTCCTAAGATGTTCAAGGCTAGGACAGACATTTTCTGTTCTGTCATATGGGGTAGCATGCACAGACTATTTTTCAACACAAAAAAGCAAATTTTTGGTTTGCATCATGCAAAGTGCTTTTTCATTGACGTATCTGGTAAGCATGTCTTCTGAGGAGCATTACCATGCAGCACTGCATTAAATTATAATGCACGAATATGATGACACATTTTAGATTTCCTGATAGTATCATTTGTCCTTAGGACAATAAATGCAAAGTTTTTGTAGGCACAGCTGCAAAAGCTGAAGGTTTTCTGTGGGAAAGCGCTATTATATGTACTGCATACTATTACAGGCTGTCACCAGGCTAATTTGCTCACAGACACCTTACAGAAGCAGCATTTTCAAAAGCACCCAACCAATTTAGATAGCCAAGATCCCTTTTCCAAAGGAATTGCATCAGTGTTAAAGCACAGTACAAAACAAAAGGCTGACTACCAAGACCTTACTTTCAATATAATAAACCTTAAAAGTTCAAAGAGCAGCTTGCAGCCCTCTCAGTAGGCTCCCTTTGAAGTATCTACTTTCTTTAATTGTATCAGGTTTATACTTCAGCCTTCAGGAAGGTCAGGCCCCTCTACAGGAGTCCTGGGCAGGAGGCTGCCACACTGGCACTCAGCAGCTACCCAGATCATCTCCCTTTGTTCAATCTCTTCTATGCCAAGTCCAACATCCCTGAATGTGGGATTGGGGAAATGTCATAACTGCTCTGTTCACCCAAAACACCAGGGACAGTCCAGGAAAACAGTAAATCTTCATTTCATTTTCAGTGCACTGGTCTGTGGCCATGACCTGATGCCGACAAGGAGGGGTATTTCTGGGCTGGTTAGAATTTCATGGATAACAAACACAGGTTGCAGCTTACACCACCAGAAGTAGGATGTGGGCATTATTACTTCTGATGCTTAATTAAATACATCAGGGAGCAAAACTTCCTCTACTAGTTCCTCAGAAAAGCTTATATCCTGGCTGAAGGGCATCTACCTTTGCCTCAGGGCTCTGCTGCTGCTGTTAGGAGGTCACGACACTTAGGAAGGGAAGTAACCCCAGAAAGGTACATAGGTCTAGGGCTGTTTTTTAAACGAGGGAAAGATCTGCCCTGCAAATCAAAATGGTAAGCTTTTACTAAGGCTAGCTCCAGTCCTTCACTAGCTTTGTCCCACCTCTTCAAGCTGACACAATGCTGCTTACAAAGCCTTGGGATGTTCAGAGCTGCAATTAAAGAATGGAAAGTAACATCCTGATCTGTTAATACCTCATTTTTGCTGAGTTTATTTCAGAACTGACCTGAACTGTATGTGTACCAGCCACCCTCAAGCCAGCTCTCACTCACACAAAGGGCTCATTGTCCCTTCAGAAGCACTGCAGGAAGCAGCTATCGAAAGCAATGGAGAAAGGGCTGCTGCTGTCTCTCTTCACACAAGATATTAAGGCCATTTTCTATTGTGAACATTCCTCCCCAAAATTAATTTTCTCAGCAAGAGGGGAAAGCCACCCCCAAATCTGATTCCTTTTGCCTGCTTTTGGGTTCAGCCTACACCAGACAAGCCCATCTTTACTCTTTGCATCACACCAGCACCCAAAGGGATCCAAACAGCTTCACAGAATTAATATGAATAAGTAAATCCAGCGGATACCAGAGCCTCATACTGTTCTGGCTCCTCCTCCTCAGGGCCAGCTGGCCCCTGCAGCCAGTCCTGACACTGCCATCAGCCACCGCAGAAGGGCCCCTGCTCACAGACAGCTCTTGGTCCTGCCCAAACTGACAGCAGGTGCGAGCGTGCTGACCCAGAGCCGGGGATGGACACTCTTGCATCTGTGCAGACACTCCAGACCCAGGGAAGGGTCAAAACAGAAAAGGGTCTTTTTATGCCTGGGACATGCATTTCCCTTCTGTCCACAGCAGTTCTTTTCAATGTTTGGAATAAACAGATATATAGAACCCATCTAAAAATGCTGACGTGTCAGCCAAGTCTCGAGGGGGAAAACAACCCAATTGCTCTGCCCAGTACACTGATGTTTCAAAAAGGTAGATGTGCTAGGAGCAACCGATTCTTTCCAGCCCCTAACAGCTGGAACAGGCTACCCCATTACAACCAGCTCATGCATTCAGAGTAAAACATGGACCAGCCCTCTCCTCAGTTCTAGGTTAAAAAAGGAGAAGAAACAAGATACGTCTCAAAGAGCCAGCCCAGCTGTGCTGGAGGGCCAAATCCAGGGAAAGGAGGTAGACAAGAACAACCAGTAAAAGTGCTTCATTTTAGTTTTCATGGGCAAACGTCAACAATGTTGATTTAATTTCATGGGCAAACATCAACATAACGGCACCAAAATTGACTGCATCAGCTTTAAATGAACATCTCTACTCTGCTAGCTGCCAGACATTGTTATGCCCAGGGAATGGTGAGGCATCTTCTTGTAGCCTTGACACATCTGTCAAAAGTCAGGCTCCAGGTTCCTGCAGCTGCTTGCCACAGTGAGCTGTTCAGAACGATCTGTATTCGCTTCAGGCACGTGGGCTCGGCCCAGCGTCGGCTTCCAAATGAAACGGTGGCAGGCTGTGAGGACCGGCAGACTGTGAGCTGGAGCAGGCCCAGTTGCGAAAAGCAGACTGAGTTTCATGGCCACCGTGTGGAAGGTTGTACCTGTGCAACATTCAGCTCCTTTGTAAGGTGAAGTGCTCTGACCAATTCTCAGAGCAAACATTTGTGGCACAGCCTGTACACTCTTATGCAAACACATGCAGTCTGTTCCGTGGACAGGTCCTAAGAACAGAGAGCAAGTAGGCTAGTGAGCATCTCTCTTCTATGTCCTCATGCTGTGGCAGGTAGCAAACAGGACCCTCATCTCACAGGCTGTACTGGTAGCAGATGCTCAGGTAGAGGCCATGTAGGTGAGCAGAGCCCTCAAAAAGCACCTGCAGGAGACACAGCACCTTATAATACCATGTACAGTCCAATGTCTTTTCTTTGGGAGGAGTAATAGCATAAATTTTACCTTTGATTGTCACAGTAATACATTTTTTTCAGCTGTTCAGGGGTGCCTAATTATCCACACATCTGTTGAAACTACTCTGCAGCAGGGACTGTGGTAGTTACCAACCACACAGACTTTTGCATTGTCCACATGTGGAGAGTTAGCCTCATTTTTTTTGGTCACAGTCACAACAATGTAGAAATAAAATTAGTACTTTAGGCTCAGTGTCTGGTTTAAGTGTATCCTGCCCTTCTCCCCTGAGATGTGTGATCACCCCCCATGCTACTTACAGTTTTCTGAATGAAAGTCAGGCACAAATTGCTCATCACTGTCTGGAACCTGAGCTGCCAGGGGAGGGAGGGAAGGAGGGGGGAGAAAGAGAGAGAGAATTAGGTTTGGCACTTTGTATGGTGTAATTAACAATAAGGCAGAAATAAGTGTATGCAGGAGAGATCTGAGCTTTCTGCTGGGATGCACTTTAGTGACTAAGGACAGTTTCCCTCTGGGATTAATGAACACAGTTCTGCCTGCAGATTTACCCCTCAAGAGCCTGCCAGTTTTTTGCCCTTACCTTGGAAATAAGGACGACAGCAAGTTTGTTAGCTCAGGGTTCAAAGTTTTCATTAGAAACATAGCATGCAGGGATTTTTAAGCATTTAGCATAGGAAAAACAACTACCAACTGATAAATCTGGAAAGGCTATGCCACAGCAATGAGCAGAACAGGAAACATCTATGCCTTCAGATGCAATCTTTCCAGCAGCTCCAGAAGCAGTGGATAGCTTGGCACTAGTGGAATAGCCTACAGTTTGTAAATCAGCAGAAGGAGAACATTTCAGAACAACAAAAAAAATATTATCTGGTAGCAGGAGAGGAAAATGGTTAATAGTCATGTATGTGTGATTTCATAAACGGTAAATGTAGGAAGTGCTGATATAGTCATAGAGACCCTGACAGCAAACAGCTGCTTTTTCGCCACAAATCAGCACAGTAAAACTTATGTCTAGGCATCTGCCCCATGGACAGCATTGTCAGTACATCTCCGAGAATAAAAGCAAGGTTTAAGATGTTTGAATATTTCAAAGACTGTCTAAGAAAGATATTTGAAA